CTGGGGCTGTACTACTGTGCTCTTGGCATCAGTGCGAAGACAATGCATTTTGGGACTGCTGTCAGACTCACATTTGCAGGTTAGTGCTCTTCAGATCGGCCAAAACATCATGATTTTATATTCAATTCAAATTTATTTGTGTAGCGCTTTTCACAATACACATTGTTTCAAAGCAGCTTTACAGAAAATTCATGTGTCTACATTACAATTTAGAGTGATCTGTTATCAGAAGTGAATGTGTCCAAGTAATGTTCATTTCACAAATGAAGAGTTCAAGATAATAGAATCATACAAGAATCATGCAAAAACTATATTTGTGACTTTTATCTGATCTAACTGGGAACAAGGGTATGAGATTTGTTATGTGAATGCTTGGCTGAAGAGATGTGTCTTTAATCAAGATTTAAACAGAGCGAGTGTGTTTGAGCCCCGGACATTATCAGGAAGACTATTCCAGAGTTTGGGAGCCAGATGGGAAAATGATCTCCCTCCTTTAGTGGACTTAGATATCCTATGCACTACTAAAAGTCCAGAGTTTCGTGACCTTAAAGAGCATGATGGATTATAGGGCATAAGAAGATCATTTAAATATACAGGCGCTAAACCATTTAGTGCCTTATAGGTCAGTAGCAATATTTTGAAATCAATACAGAACTTAATAGGTAACCAGTGTAGAGATGATCAAATTGGGGTAATATGATAAAAAAAATTTTGACCTGGTAAGAACTCTAGCAGCTGCATTTTAGACTAACTGTAGCTTGTTTATTGAAGATTCAGGACAACCAGCTATTAGTGCATTACAGTAATCTAGTCAAGAGGTCATGAATGCATGAACTAGCTTTTCTGCGTCAAAAACAGATAACATGTTCCGTAGCTTAGCAATGTTTCTGAGGTGGAAGAAGACTGTTTTTGTAACATATGAAATATGATTTTCGAAAGTTAAGTTGCTGTCTAATATAACACCAGGGTCTTTAACTGCGGATGATGACATAACAGTACATCCTTCTAGTTGCAAATTGTATTCTAAGAGATTCTCTGTGCAGGTTTTTGGTCCAGTAAGTAATACCTAGTCTTTTCTGAATGTAATAGGAGACAATTACTGGTCATCCAATGTTTTATATCTCTAACACATTCTGTCAACTTGGACAGTTTAGAAATTTCATCTGGTTGTGATGAAATATATAACTGAGTATCATCGGCATAGCAGTGGAAACTAATTCCATTTCTAATAATGTTGCCAAGTGGCAGCATGTATATTGAAAATAACAGAGGGCCTAACACGGATCCTTGTGGCACCCCATGATTTACTGATGTTAACTCGGATTTTCCACCATTTAAGTAGACAAAAGGGTAACGTCTGCTAAGTACGATCTAAACCACCGTTATGCCTGTCCCTGAATACCAGTGTAATTTTGTAGTCGGCCTAAGAGTATGTCATGGTCTATAGTGTCGAACGCAGCACTAAGATCAAGTAAAACTGGTATTGAGACACATCCTTGGTCAGAAGCTAGAAGTAGGTCATTTGTTATTTTAACGAGCGCAGTTTCTGTGCTATAATTAGGCCTGAATCCTGACTGAAATTTTTCATAGATATAATGTTTTTGCAGGAAGGAGTACAATTCAGTGGACTTAACTTTTAACTTAAACTGAAGATTTTAAATGGGTCTTTAATTTGCCAATTCATTTGGATCAAGTTGCGGTTTCATAATGAGAGGCTTAATAACTGCCATCTTAAACGGTTGTGGAACATGACCTAGAGATAGAGATTAATTAATAATATTGAGAAGAGGCTCTTCTGCTACAGGTAACAACTCTTTCAATAATTTAGTGGGAATGGGATTTAGTAAACGTTGTTGGTTTAGATGTAATGATTAGTTGATTTAGTTCTTCTTGTCCTATAGTTGTAAAGCACTGTAATTGTTCTTTAGGGGCAGTAACAGAGGCTGGATCATAAAACCCAGTCAAAGGTTGTACATTTACAATTGCATTTCTAATAGTTTCGATTTGTGAAGAAATTCATAAAGTCATTACTACTAAACTGTGATGGAATATTCAGTTCAGGTGATGTCTGTTTATTTGTTAGTCTAGCGACTGTATTAAATAGATACCTTGGATTGTTTTGGTTAGTTTCTACGAGTTTGCGGAAATGCTCGGCCCTGGCTGAGTCTTTTTGTAGAGGGATATGCTTTCTTTCCATGCGATTTTAAAGACCTCTAAATTAGTTTGTTTCCATTTGCGCTCCAGGTTACGAGTATCTCTCTTGAGAGTCTGAGTATTACTGTTGCACCATGGTGCGGTATTTTTCTCTCTAACCTTTATTAATCTGATGGGTGCGACAGTATCTAATGTATTAGCGAAGATTGTGCCCATACTGCTAGTCATTTCATCTAGTTCATTTATGTTTATGGGAACACTGAGCAACTGAGACAGATCAGGCAGGTTATTTGTGAATCTATCTTTAGTGGTTGGGATAATTGTTCTACCTAGTCTATAGCGTGGAGCAATATGACAAATATCAGCGGTATTAAGGACACGCGTTACAAGGTAGTGATCAGTAACATCATCACTTTGCTGTATCACATCTATATCAGTAAGATTGGTTCCATGCGATATAATTAAGTCTAGTGTATGATTGAGACGGTGAGTGGGTCTAGTGACGTTTTGCATGACCCCAAATGAGTTTAGTAAATCTGTAAACGCAACCCCTAACACATCATTTTTATTATCAACGTGAATGTTAAAATCTCAGACAATCAACGCTTTATCAACACTGACCAGTAGGTCTGAGAGAAAATCTGCAAACTCTTTTAGAAAATCAACAAAGGGCCCTGGAGGTCTATACACGTTTGCCAAAACTAAAGATAACAGGGATTTTTTCTTCTATCTGTAAGCATAATATTTAGCACAAGCACTTCAAATGAGTGAAACCTGTGTCCTGTTTTCTGAGTAACATAAAGAATATCTCTATATATTGTTGCGACACCGCCGCCATGAGCAATCAGACGGGGCTTGTGCTTATAACAGTAGCTTGGAGGAGTAGACTCATTTAGACCAAAATAATCATTAGGTTTAAGCCAGGTTTTAGTAAGGCAGAGTATATCAAAACTATTATCAGTGATTATTTTGTTTACAATAACTGCCTTAGGTGTGAGTGATCTAATGTTTAGGAGCCCAAGCTTTAGAAATAATTGTTGTTCACTTAATTTGTGATTTTCTCGTTTAATTACGATCAGATTTTTTCTAAAAACCTATAGTACATTTATTATTTGACCTCATTATTCGGGGAACAGACACAGACTCTATCGAATGGACTACACATGTGGTACTATCGATGAAGTTGGTAGAACAACAAAGACTTTGATTTGAGGTTTGACTTACTAGTCATACGGCGCGTAGCGTCTTGGAGATGTTGTCTGACAGAAGATCCTCTTCTGTTCTGCTGGGGTGCAGGCCATCAGCACGGAAGAGCTTAGGTCGCTCCCAGAAAAGATTCCAGTTATTAACTAAGAGCAGTTTCTCTTCATTACACCATGACATTAGCCATTCATTAAGAGCAAATAATCTACTGAACCTTTCATTTCCTCGTCGGTACTACGGAAGCGGTCCAGAAACGATGATCCTCGCCGAGGGCGATGTGCATGCGCATAATAAATTCATATGATATTAATTATAAATCTAAACCTCAGAACCACAGAGAGATGTGATGTCAGAGCAGGAAGCTGTAGAGCTGGCACATGGCTACCTGTGCTCTGTGTTTTAGTGGATCACTTCTGCAGAACAAACGTTACAGTCTCTTCCTTAGTCAGCATGGTACAGATCAGCATATCAAGTTAATAACAAACCAATCTGTAACAAGAATGGCATCGTCACATTATAAGACTTACTGCTAAATGGGAAATGCATTTATAAATTATACTTAGCAATTTCGCTTCATAATAAATAGCCATATTTATAATAAATAAAAAGTACAATATAAATTCATAAAGGTGCAACAGCTGTCAATATTGTGCCAAATTGTGAATGCTTTATTTGTTGACAAGTCATTGGATTATTAATGCAATAAATAAACCTTTCTTCATGGAAACAATCTTTGTCCTCAGACAATAAAACTGAGAAACCACAGAAGACACATTTAGAGAGTTTCTTGAGGTTTGGCTGCAGTGTTTGTTTTCTGTGACTCTCATCTGTTCCAGTGAAACTGATGCTCTTTCCATTGGTTTGGTGCCATGGAGCAATGAGCTGGGAAAGCCATTTAATTGAGTTCTGGTTAAGCGCAAAATAATTGCAATGCTCGGGCAAACCGCTATAGAGTTGTTTACGCTATAGAGTTAGAAGCGGTGAATGTGGCTTACAGGTTTCATAGAAAGAGAATAATGTGCGCCAAATGAGTCGCTGTTGAAATCGAATACTTTAATGGTTGCGGATGAAACAGCTCAACACTAATGCATACAATGACATGTGAAATAAAACATCATCATGTTTTAAAGAACAGTGGCTTGATTAAGTGGTGAAAATGAACAGAAAATATTATATTATATTAATCATATTATATTACAAGTCTAATAAATAATTGACCTCAAAAAGGGAATTCATAACAGGGGATTCAGGGGATTTATTTTTTCATATGATCTATATTATATTATATTAAGAATTGAACTCCTCTGATTTTGATTGAATGATTTTTAAATAAAATTTCTTGGTAAGTAACACTGCACTGTAAAAAAAAATTTCTCAGGTAACCTAAAATGTGCATCATTTAGTTACATCAAGGGTCAAATCAAATATAAAAAGCACATTACAGTATAAAGTTACACACTTTTTTATGCTGAACAGGTCTGATATAAAGAATGTTTTTGCTCAGGTGGCCGAAATGTCCGCCCAATAGATATTTTGCTCAGCAAGAAGAAAAAAAACACACTCGAGGGAACATTGGTTTGGTGACTCTTTTGGTTTTGTGTTTCAGATGCTGAACAGCACCGCTCATCAGCTAGCGTGGGCTGCAGGACGCTTTTGGTCTGTGCCTACGTTGTATGTGGTTTTTGCGCTATTCTCTGCGTGTGTGTGCTTTGTTACAGGCAAGGTGAGAAACAGAGAACCTTCCACTTCTAAAACAGCACGAAGCCCCAACTCAAACCTGATTGAAATGCAGGTTATAGCACATAATGTTGTGCTTTATTTTAGATCTGTGTTTCTCTTTCAGGTTCTTCCAGGGTCTCTTGCATCAACTGTGTGAAAGAAAACTCAAATGTCAAGGTGGGTTAGACTTGGATTCTCTGGAAAAAATGGCATATAAGCAAGAAAGTAGCATAAAGGCCAGTCTTCACATATATTTTCTGCGTGCATGTTAACATATGAGTGCGTTATGAGTGAGCAGGAGCAGGAGCAACGCTGAAGCAATGGTTTCGGTGCAGAGTCTTCCAACTTCCAAGACTTTAAAAGTTTCAAGTTTATAACTGACCAACTTCTAAAAACTAATTTATAGTTGCCTTTGTAAAGAAATATGTAGCTTTGGTGTGACGCTGTACAAATGTGTGTAGTGTGAATGCTCTCGCAGTGACGCTGAAGTGAAGCTCACGCTTGCGGTGTGAAACAGGTGTAAGAATGGCATACCTCACAGAATGGTGTATGAACAAAAACTGTAAAACACTGGCATTAGTAAACAACAAAACTCAGGAGCGATGCAACCACTGGCATAAGATTCCATAAAGAAGTGGCATAACTAAGAAAGGAAGCCGTTTGTTTGTAGTCGTAGTTTGTGTTGTTTTTGTGCTCTGAGAGTGACATTAATATTGATTTATTAACGCAGGGAGATGTTGTTGTTTTCCAGGCAGCACAAGTACAGTATGCCAGTCTCCGGTTCCTCAGACGGTCCAGAGCCGCGGCTCCTGCTCCAGTCAACGTGACCTACGCAACTATAGCCAACCACACGTCCTGATTTCACTGCATTCAATCAGCTTCATATTAAACAGAGAGAGTTGTAGAAGGCTACTATACCTACACCTATACTTTGAACTTATGCCAAAGCCTGTGAAAAAAAAAAAAAAAAAATGTATACACTACCATTCAAACGTTTGGGATCGGAATGATTTTATAATGTTTTTGAAGGAAGTTTATTTTATTCACCAAGGCTGAATTGGATTTAAATACAGTAAATAATGTGAAATATTATTGCAATTAAAAAATAACTGTTTTCTATTTGAATATATTTAAAATATATATTTTCAGGATTTTATCAGGATTCTTTGATAGATAGAAATTCCAAAACAACCGCATTTATTTAAAAAGAAATACTTTGTAGCATAAACGTCTTTTGAACAATTTTTAGTATCTTTGTATGTATGCATACATATATATTGAATGGTAGTGTATATTACATGTGCTATATTATGCCTGCTATATTCTATGGTTTCTTTTTCATTTGTTTGATTATATATAAGCTAGCTTTCGTAGGATGACATATAAAGCTAAGACAGTGATTTCGATACTATATAAGATGTTTTTGGTTTATATTCACTTATCGTTGAAAATCACTCATCTTGACTGCACATGTCCAGTGTAAATGATGAATGAAGAGCTGTGTGTTGTCTTATGAAGTGATCAGTGTGGAGTAAATGACATGCTGTCTGCTGCTCAGCGGTCTGTCTGTCTCTCTCCAGTGCTGCACACCCAGAGACGCGTACTGGATTTCCCCCTGAACACACACACACCATTATTATAGTACCATGCACATTATTTCTTACAGAAACATCAAACTGTTGTCATTTTGAAGTAAACATTTTCATTGATCATAAACTACAAGAATCTTTGGCTGTTGATTGGTGAAGAAAGAAACTCACTGCATCCTCGTGACTGTCCAACATCCAGGGGCCTGATAAACAACACAAGATCACTGTTTGAAATGAAATAAACCGAGTGACGTCATAATGACCTTTGATGAAACCATATCTGCATAATGGTGTTGAAATAATGCATATTGAATGCATGCAACTCCCTGCTCTCAAAGCATTACATTATTCCATCCCTACCTAAAAAAAAAAAATAAGACAAAAACATGGCACACTTTCACTTATTTATAATGCAAAATGATCCAGGGTTGATGCACGCATGTGAACAATAAGACCAGACACCGAGGAAGGGGTGTGATGGTGGCTTTATACGGGGCTTGATTGGTGATGACAGGTGGAGTGCGCCAGTATTCGGGTGATTGTGAGCGAGTGGGAGGAGCTGAAGGATCTGGCGTTGCTGTTGACTCCGTGACAGCTATATATTCTATTAGCCAAATATATTTGCGTTTATTTTTGTTATTGTTTGCCTGGGGTTTTTCTTTTGGTAAGGGAGGAAATGCAGAGATTGGCATGACATCGAAATTTGAACATGACAAATTTACAATTGCGTCCACAGAGAAGCAGCGCGGTCATTTTTAAAACCGCAGCTTTTTCTACGCGGTTTGGCCATTCGTCCACACGCAAACGCAGCACCAGGTCACTGAAACCCAACATTTTTGAAAACTGCTGGAAACTTTTTCAGGCTTCTGATTGGCCAACATGGCTTTACGGTTGAGATTATATTGCCACCTGTTGGCTCGGCATGCTCTTGACATTGCTTCATAGCATGCGTTTGCGTTTTCATGTGGACGGAGATTTTTTTTAAATGGAAGGAAAAACTCCTTTTATAAAAATACCCATGTACGTGTGGACATGGCCTCAGATAAAACATCAACATGTCAGAAAAAAATAAATAAATAAAAAGACAGAATCACTGAGGCTGCGTTCCACTCCACTTTTAGACACGCACTTGCGAACTTCCCTAAGCACTTCCCCTCGGGGGAATCCCCGCTGCCATTTTGAAGTGCGTTCCACTTCGTGAAGTGGACGAGGGAAGTTTATATGGACAGACCCTCGACCCCTAGATTTTGACCGAGGGATCACTTTTAGACACGCACTCGCGAACTTCCCTAAGCACTTACCCTCGGGGGAATCCCCACCGCCATTTTGAAGTGCGTTCCACTTCGTCAAGTGGACGAGGAAGTTTACATGGACATACCCTCGACCCCTCGATTTTGACCGAGGGAGCGAGTCTGCTTCATATGCACACTTCAGGCCGCTCCATAGACCACAATGCAACACAATTGTGACGTCATCGCAGATCGCGTTTAATTTATCCCCACCTCAAACAACTCTATAATATATAATTTTTTTTTTTACATTTATAACAGCCCAAACATACCTATATACATATAGAATGCTGCACCAAACAAATTCATAAGGGAAAAAATGTAAACAATAAACCAACTCCATTCTAAGTGATCAAGGGCTTAGGACGTTCCAGTTCAGCCCTTTCCGAGGGTTCTGCCAGAAGTGGGCACTCATGCAACGTAATCAATGACGTACATCCGCGTAAACGAGACAGAGGGAAGTTTGCGAGTGAAGGGCATAAAAAAAACGGACTGGAACGCAGCCTGAGTTAGAAAAAGGACTGCCCTTCCTAAAAATGACTTGTAAACTCAATAAATATGAATATGCATTAATTCATCTCACTCACAAAAAAAAACAACACAGATTCAGTATTCCTCAAAATGAATAAAAATAATGCAACTCAGAATATGACGCAAACCTGCAATAATTAAATGTTAAACAACACAAATATCCTTTATGTATTTAATCCCATTCTATTAACCAATGTCTTTGCTTCTGACCTTCGATGATCCAGCTCAACCATACTAATAAGCAAAAATTACTCTAGACAAACATTCGTGTGCCTTTTTTTATTGCTGAAGTGTGTTGAAATTTCTTCTTCTGCATTCTACTGTACGGATGTAAATTTACTTTCCCTTCAGCCTGAGGCTTATTAATTT